AGTGTGAGGTCACTGGGGGTGGGGGATGGGATGGGGTGGTACCTGCAGCAGTGTGAGGTCACTGGGGTGGGGGATGGGATGGGGTGGTACCTGCAGTATCATGATGTCGTTGTTTAAGGTCTTGCTGTTGTACTGCGGGTGGGGGATCTGCCGTTGCACAGGGATCACTTGCTGGCTCGGTTCCCATTGGCTGACGTTATGGGCTCCCAGGACGACAGTGATGCTTCTGTGAAAGCTGAGAGCAGCACGTGGGGTGTTAGGGGCAGGGGTCAGAAACGTGTTTCTGGCTCATAAACATTGGGCTTGTGGGAACGGGGCAGCCTGGGGCTCTCGGGCCAGGATCTTAGATTCATTCTGTTGTCTTTGAGCTTGGGCATCCATTCCCCCCAGCCAATTCCCCCCTCCCAGTTGATCCAGGCAGGGGTCCATGCCCAGCCCCCCAGCCCAACACCCCATAGACCTGTCTTGAGTCTATGACGCATCCCTGCCCCACACTACAATCCCATTGATGTACCCAGGCTGGGGCTGGGCCTTGGGTTGAGAGGCCCCTAGAGACTCAATAAAACCCCCTTGAGCAGATCAGACCCCTGGGCTCTTCTCCCCCAACCTGGCCACCCCTTGCCGCTACACCGGGGTCAGAGCTCCCAGCTCCCCTGCTCACGCTGACCCCACCTACCGTCATGTCCCAGCCCAGAGGCACTTACTCTCCCTGGCAGTGAGCGGCCGTCAGCACAACAGTTGGCTTCACCAGGAACCCACCACACCTAGACTTGTTTGCACGTTGTATAAGCAGATGGGCCATGTAGGGCCTGGAGTGGGGCTCGGCTTCATGCCCCCCGATGATCTCACCTGGGGGGAGACTAGGACTGTACAAAGAGCCCCCTCATCTCCCTGCGCATGGACAGCATTCGCACCCTAATGGCTTCTCCTTCTCCACCAACCCACAGCGGGTGGACTGTGCGAAGCCCGACCTCCAACTCTCTGGTCCCGTGGAACATCGTGTGTTTCTCTAAAGGCGTATTGCTCCAAAAGCTGTGTCTGCCCCCTGCCCGTGGCGGAAACCACGTGTTCTGCCCTCCTTCTGCCGATGGGGAAACTGAGGCCCAACTGGATGGTTTCTAATTCTGGATGCCCTGGCTTCCCTCACCTTGGCCTCGAAATCCCAACCTCAGGGGGCCAGGCCAATGTTCCCACCGGGAGGCGAGAACTGATCAAATATTTCCTTCAGCCCATTCCAACACTTAACCTGCTCCTGGTGACCCTCCCCACAGAATGGGCCGGGGAGGGTGTCTCGGGGTGAGCGTGGGGGTCCTCAGGCCCTGCCCCCTGTACACAGCTGGACGTGAATATCTGCCAGCAGGTAGAAAAGAAGTTTTATTGGGTCACAGGGACACAGCAGAGCACAGAATAGATGATAACGCAGGGACCCAGAACAGGCTCCTCTCAGGGAGAAGGGGGTCTGGGTCCTGAACCCCCCTTTCCAGCTCTAAGCCCCTTCTGGCCTCCTCACCCAGCTGAGACTGACTCATCCCCCAGGCCCTACCCACAGCTTGGGGTCAGCCCCCTTCCCGGGCAGGAGCTGTTATCTCCTGTGCCTGGACGGTGGGATCCACACACAGTGCACAAAGCAACACAATCCTGCTCAAGAGGCATCAGTGAGTCTCTCATGGCCTCTGCAACCCACGGTCCAGAGGGTTCGCAACTGCTTTGGAGGAAAGGGTCAGAATTCAAAATGATCTGGACAAACTGGAGAAATGGTCGGAGGTCAGTAGGATGGCGTTTAATAAGAACAAACACAAAGTGCTCCAGTTAGGAAGGAACCATCCGTGTCACACACAGGCTGTGTCTAGACTGGCCAGTTTTTCCACAAAATCATCTGATTTTGCAGAAAACCTTGCCAGCTGTCTACACTGGCCGCTTGAATTTCCGGAAAAGCGCTGACGATCTCATATACAATCATCAGTGCTTTTCCGGAAATACTATGCTGCTCCCGTTTGGGCAAACGTCCTTTTCCGAAAGACTTTTGTGCCAAAGGGCTAGTGTAGACAGCATAGTACCGTTTTCCGCAAAAAAGCCCCGATCGTGAAAATAGCGATTGGGGCTTTTTTGCGGAAAATGGCGTCTAGATTGGCCACGGATGCTTTTCCGCAAACAGTGCTTTTGCGGAAAAGCATCCTGCCAATCTAGACGCGATTTTTCCGAAAATGCTTTTAATGGAAAACATTTCCGTTAAAAGCATTTTCGGCAAATCATGCCAGTGTAGACGTAGCCTCACAGAATGGGAAAGAGATGGTCTAGGGAGGAGTCCGGCAGAAAGGGATCTACGGGTCAGAGTGGACCACGAGCTAAATAGAAGCCAAGTGTGATGCTGGTGCAAAAAAAGCCAACATGATTCTGGGCTGCACGAACAGGAGTGAGATGAGAAAGACACAAACAGTCATTCTTCCACTCTACTCTAGGCTGGTTAGTCCTCAGTTGGAGGGTTGTGTCCAATTCTGGGCCCCACATTTCAAGGATGTGGTGGAGAAATTGGAGAAGGTCCAGAGAAGAGGAACAAGAATGAGGAGAGGTCTGGAGAACATGAGCGAGACGGGGAGGCTGAAGGAACGGGGCTTGTTTAGTTTGGAAAGGAGAAGACGGAGAGGGGACAGGAGAGCGGTTTTCAAGTACCTGAAAGGGTGTCACAAGGAGAAGGGAGAAAAATTGTTCTCCTTGGCCTCTGATGGTAGAACAAGAAGCAATGGGCTTAAACTGCAGCAAGGGAGGTTTGGGTTGGACATTAGGAAAAACATCCCACGTGTCAGGGTGGTGCAATACTGGAATAAATTGCCCAGGGGGGTTGTGGGATCTCCATCCCTGGAGATATTGAAGAGCAAGTTGTACAGACACCTGTCAGGGATGATCCGGATGACACTTGGTCCTGCCATGAGGGTAGGGGACTGGACTCGATGACCCCTTCAGGTCCCTTCCAGTTCTCGTGTTCTAGGATTCTTGGATTTGTGACTCTCCCCCATGGTAGGCAGTCAAGTGTTTATGGGAGATCCTCAGTATTACCTGCCCAGATAAGTCTGTGATCCTGCACCCCATATTCTTCACAGTAATATTATTATCATGTGATTCTGACAAACCCATTTAATAAGAGGGTGGGGAAGGGATATTCAGGGCAACGAATGAGTCATTAGGAAAAGAGCCCCAATAGATCTTAGGAGAAGTGTATTCCCTACCAGGTGACCCGTCCTGATAATGCTACAAACAGCCTGCAAGTGACAGCTGCTGTTTTCACCAGGGGCTGTTTTGAAAATCTGCTGCTGCTATTTGCATCTGGGGCCACCAATCTGGATCAAGGCTGCCCAGACGCCAAGAGAGATCAGGGTTTCCTTGTGCCCGGGTTGGCACAGACTCTTCCCGAATGAGCATCCATTTAGAATCACAACACTGACAAAGGGAGAAGGAACAAAGACCTACAAGTCCTGACTTCCCATCCCCCACCCCGCTCTGACCACTAGACCCCACTCCTCGGTTGGAGGTACCACCCAGGAGAACTGGTTCCCACCAAGGGGAGATTAAGAAAAAGGATTTCGAGGCCACAGGCTCAGCCAGAAACCATTAGGCCAGGGCTGCATCCATCAATACCCCTTTGTTCCTGGCCAGTCCTTGCATCCGACTCTGGGGAGGAGCTGGGATTTGCACACAACTCAGAAAACTCCCCACTCTGTCCCCACAATCCCTGTTCCTCTCCACACTCACCAGCCCCAGCGCCAGGGGGCAGGAGAAAGGCCACAGGCAGCAGGATCAGGAGCAGCATCGTCACCATCTGGGGAAAGCAACAGGGCTTGTGACTCAGCCCCAGGGATTTTATAGAGCCAGCCGCAAACCGGCGATCACGTGGTGGCTGCACAAATGGGGAGCTGTCACAACCCAGGTGCCCACAGAAACCTCAGCAACAGGCTGCTGACCTGTGGGGGCAGGAGGAAGGGGGCGGTGTCTGAAAAACAGCCTCCCTCTAGAGGAAAGTCCCTCTGTCCCAAGAGCATCCGGGAACAGGGCTCCATGGATCCTATCTGGATCCCAGCACACCTGGAACCATCTGGAGCTCACCTGTCTCCTCGGTGCCAGAATCTCATTGGTGGAGAACGCGGGCGATGTTGAGTCACCTGCTGGCTTGGCTCAGCTCCCTGCTTCCTGCCCAGTGTGTGTCTCAGAGCTGCAAGCAGGGGATGGGGAAATGGCTGAGGGTTCCTGCAACCCAAGGCAGAAATTCTCCCAGGGGGTGGGAGTATGTAGCCCACCAGACGAGGGGCCTGAGGATCACAGGTATGATGGTGCTGGGTCACAGGGATGGCCCTAAACACTCAGAGCTTGGGCTGTATTCCTCTGGGTCACCTCATGGCCGGCATGGCTAAGGACAGAGCAAACTTCCTTACTCAAACACACTTTTGGGACCCTGACACCAGAGGTCCTGGATTTTGAAGGTTTGATGTCTTAGCCCAACCATTAAGAAAAGAACTTATCGTCAAAACAGAAAGGGAGGAGAAAATACCAGGTTCACTGTTTTAATCTGGAAACACAGTAGCTCATTGTTTTTGCATGATCTGTTGGCTTAGCGTCATCCAGCGGAAAACCTGCCAGTACCACTGTATTCAATAGACCAAAAGGGCTCCCTCCCTTTTCGGGAGCCAGAAGGCAACTGTGCAAAGGAAGTCGATAAAAACCCCTTCTAACCGTTTTAAAGATAAGTTCATTTCTTAATTTTTTGGCTAACCATGATCAGAAAGACAGAGCTTCCAACAACCAACGGTCTATTTGCTTCAAAGAAAACATCTGTAAGGACTTTTTTTTTACAACCAAAGGCCCTTCTTCTAAGATAAGAACACAAGAATGGCCGTACTGGGTCAGACCAAAGGTCCATCTAGTCCAGTATCCTGTCTGCTGACAGTGGTCAATTGCAGATGCCCCAGAGGGAGGGAACAGAATAGGTAATCCTCACATGATCCTACCCACTTCCAGAGAAACAGAGGCTAGGGATACCAATCCTAACCTCCAGGAATCTATCTAGCTCTTTGTTGAACCCTGTTAAACTTCTGGCCTTCACCACATCTTCTGGCAAGGAGTTCCACAGGTTGACTGTGCCCTGAGTGAAGAAAAAAGCTAAAATTCGACAAACCCACAATCATTGCAAGAGACCACACGCCATAAAATGACATGAGCCGTAAACTTTTTCAAGCATGAAAGTCCTTTTCCCATCATGGACAATAAAAGTTCAAAAGAGCCACCAGTAGCAGGTTTTCTACTGGATGACACGAAGAAAGCAGCTGACACAACAGTTAGTGACTTTTTTCAACTGTAAAGGGAAAACTTTGTATTTTACAAGAAGGAGACACTTTTAAGATAAACACCAAGCTGGATACGTGAAGGAACTCAAGCCCTCCGTCAATCATAAACGCAAGCTCTAAACGAGCTGTAACAGAGCGAAGTCTCTTTTTTAGGAATATGTTGTAGACGTTTGGTGACCTAAGCATGCGTAAGATATTCTATCCAAATTGCAGCCCACGGGCCAGATCCAGTCTGCCAGGGTTAGCACCTGCGGGTCCCTACCCCTGTATTTACCTACGCCTCTGCTAGTACCAGCAATCAGCTCCTATTGGCCATGGATCATCCTTTGCAGCCAATGGGAGCTTCAATTGCCCGTACCTACAGGGGTGCAGGTCCCCCTCTGTGTGCCATGTAAAAAATTTGCCGTCAGTCTAGAGGGCTGCCAAATATTACTGAACAGCAGCGAATCAAAACGATCTAATCACAATTAAAGAAAATCCACACCTGTTTACAGATCCATCAATTGTGACGCCATAGCAGTATTACCCATCCGACGTTATTTAGTACGGCTTTGATATAAAATAATTATTTAAAGAGCTCTTTTGCCAGGAAGGAGAGAAATTAGGTAATACGAGGTCTCCCTCCCTTTCTGTCGCTCGCAGACAACCATGCGAAGGAAGTAGATAAAACTCCCTTCTAACAGCTTTGAAGAGAATCTTGTTTCTTGATTCTTTGTCTAACTGTGAATACAACAAGACACCTTCCCAACACAGACGGCCTCTGTCCCACAATGAAATCCTCACTCACTTCTTCAGCTTTTGCTAGAAGAAAAGTGCTATAGAGCAAGTATGCAACTTTTATAGCCAACGGCCCCTCTTCGAAGATACAGCCACCGACAATCTCACGTTGAAAAATACGGACCCTCTAGCCTTTGTAAACTGGGAAAGAACTTTCCCCAGTACTGACACAAAACATTCAAAACAACCTGCAGGTTTGTACAGTGCATGATACTGAGGCTATGTCTAGACTGCAGGCTTCTTTTGAAAGAGGCTCTTTCGAAAGCATCTAGACTGCAGGCGGGTCTTTCGAAAGAGAAATCCGCTTTTTCGAAAGAGAGCACCCAGCGAGTCTGGATGCTCTCTTTCGAAGACGGCCTCTTTACATTGAAGAACGCCTTCTTTCGAAAGAGGAACTTTCGAAAGTAGGCGTTCTTCCTCGTAAATTGAGGTTTACCGCCATCGAAAGAAAAGCCGCGTTCTTTCGAAATAATTTCGAAAGAACGCGGCTTGAGTCTGGACGCAGGGGAAGTTTTTTTGGGAAAAGGCTACTTTTCCCGAAAAAACCCCTGAGTCTGGACACAGCCTAAGAAGGCAACTTCTACAAAAATTAGCTACTTCCAAAAATTGGAAGGGAAACCTATATAATTGAAAACTAGGAGCCATTTCTTCTAAGATAAACACCCACGTTGATTATCTGAAGACACACAAGCCTTGAGCGAACCGTGTAAACCAGTTTGAACCTAGCTATGACCAAAAGTCTCTTGTTTGGGAATATTTTGTGCAAGTTCAGTGACAGACGCTTGTTTAAGATACACTGGCCTGGCCTTTTTTAAAAGAACCTGAAAACCAACTAAGTGGAATATGAACACTGTCCATAAAAGGGAGTTTACATGGGTTATTCTTAAAAAAAAAATTGCTCTAAGACTACAAGGCTGCCAAGTTTTACTGAACACACGGAGATTTTAATTTAGTACAATCAAAATGTAGGAAGATTGATCCCTGCTTACTGATATGTCAGTTGTGAAGACGTAGCAGTTTTGCGGGTTATAAGTCATTTAGTCTGGTTTTTGTATTAAAAAAAACGTTGAAAGAGTTGTTTTATAATAAAGGACCGAATGTATGCATTAACACATCCGCTTCCCTTCTTGCTCCTAGAAGACCCCCGTGTGAAGGAAGTAGATAAGTATCCTTTCTAACTGTTTTAAAGATAAGCTTGTTTCTTCATTCTTTGGCTGACGTGAATATAAAAATTTACCATAAATGGCAGTCCATCATCTCTACCATGAACGACAACAGTCTCTCATAAAATCATAGATGCCTAGATCTGGAAGAGGCCCCATCTGGAGTATTGCATCCGATTCCGGGCCCCCCGTTACAGAAGGGATGTGGACGCATTGAAGGAGGGCAACAAAACGATTACGTGGCTGGAGCACATGATCTACGAGGAGAGGCTGAGGGACTGGGGCTTGTTTAATCTGCAGAAGAGAAGCAAGAGGGAGGGATTTGAGAGCAGCCTTCAACCACCCATGGTAGCGGTTTTCAGGTATTTAAAAGGGTGTCACAAGGAGGAGGGAGAAAAATCATTCTCCTTTGCTTCTGAGGACAGGAATAGAAGCAATGGGCTTAAACTGCAGCAAGGGAGGTTTAGGTTGGTCGTTGGGAAAAAGTTCCTACCTGTCCGGGTGGTGAAACGCTGGAATAAATTGCCCAGGGAGGTTGTGGAATCCCCATCTCTGGAGAGATTGAAGAGCAGCTTGGATGGGCATCTGTCAGGGATGGTCTAGACGGTGCTTGGTCCTGCCATGAGGGCCGGGGACTGGACTCGATGACCTCTCGAGATCCCTTCCAGTTCTAGTGCTCTAGGATTCTACCTGAAGGGTAGACAGAAATTGGAGAGAGGCTGTTCTCAGGGGTGTCAAACGGCAGAATGGGGAGCAACGGTCTCAAGTTGCAGTGTGGGACCAGCTTTGGCAGTGTGGACTCATTGTTTAGAAAATTGACCCAAGGTGGCTAAATTTGACCTAAGCTCCTAGTGCAGACCAGGCCTTAAATAAACTCTCACCTTGATTATCTGAAGAAACACAGGCCCTCAGTAAGCCATGAAGAGTGATTCTGAATGAGAATGGCCAGACCCGGTCAGACCAAAGGCCCATCCAGCTCAGGGTCCTGTTTGTTGATAGTGGCCAATGCCAGATGCCCCAGAGGGAGGGAACAGAATAGGTAATCCCTCCCCATCATCCACTTTCAGAGAAACAGGGGATGTCTACACTACAAAGTTAGTTCAAACTAACTTTGATAGGCGCTACACTAGCGCTCCGTTAGTTCGAACTTAATTCAAACTAGCGGAGCGCTTAGTTCGAACTAGGTAAACCTCATTCCATGAGGATTAAGCCTAGTTCGAATTTACTAGTTCGAATTAAGGGCTGTGTAGACCCTTAATTCGAACTAGTGGGAGGCTAGCCCTCCCCAGCTTTCCCTGGTGGCCACTCTGGCCAACACCAGGGCAACTCTACTGCCCCCCTCCCGGCCCCGGACTCCTTAAAGGGGCACGGGCTGGCTACGATGCCCGTGCCAGGTGCAAGCCTGCCAGCACCCAGCTAGCAGACCCTGCACCTGGCACGGCTTGAGCCCACCC